TATATATATATATATATATATATATATATATATATATATATGTATGTATATATATATATATATATATATAAACAGCGACAGACAAATAAATATAAAAAAATAAAAAATAAATCAATAAATAAATAAATATAAACAACCACAAAAAATTAACATACACCCCATCCCAAACCATTTAGATATTTAGGGTTTAGGGTTTAGGGTTTAGGGTTTAGGGTTTAGGGTTTGTGTTGCAGGGAGGACGCTGTGCATGTGCCGGTGCCTTGGGGTGCAGTATGGGGTCGTTTTGCTGCTGCTGCTGCTGCTCCTGCTGCTGCTGCTGCTGCTGTTGCTGCAGCACTAAAACAAATAGAAGAGGAGACAGAAACCATCTGTATACCGCATACAGACTTGTATGCTAGGGTTTAGGGTTTAGGGTTTAGGGTTTAGGGTTTAGGGTTTGGGGCTTGTGTTGCTACAGCTTGTTTCTTTTTTTTGCTTCATCATGCTTCTGCGGTTGCTGCTGCTGCTGCTACTGCTGCTGCTGCTGCTGCTCATTCTGCTGCTGCTGCTGCTGTTCATTCTGCTGCTGCTGCTGCTGTTGCTGTTGCTGCTGCTGCATATCCTTTAACTGCCGCTGCTGTTCATGCTACTACTACTGCTGCTGATCCTGCTGCTGCTGCTGCTGCTGCTGCTCATGCTGTTGCTGCTACTGCTGCTGTTGCTGCAACGGCTGCTGCTGTTCATGCTACCACTACTGCTGCTGCTCATGCTGCTGCTGCTGCTGCTCGTGCTGCTGCTGCTGTTGCTGCAACCGCTGCTGCTGCTGCTACTGCTGCTGCTGCTGCTCATGCTGCTGCTGCTGCTCATACTGCTGCTGCTGCTGCTGCTGCTGTGCTGCAGGCGCCGCCCCCGTGTGGATAGTCCGTTTTATATGGTAACGTTTTTGTCTCCTCGCGCAGCAGCAAGAGAGAGAGCTTCCTGTCTCCTTTTGTCTCTTTTCAGCAGCAGCAGCAGCAGCAGCAGCAGCAGCAGCAGCAGCAGCGGCAGCAGCAGCAGCAACTGTCTCCTTCCTCCTCTCCCTTTATCTCTTCCCTTTCCTCCTCCTCCTCCTGCTGCTCCCAATCCTCTTGCTGCTGCTGCTCTTGCTCCTCCTCCCCCTCCAGCTGCAGCAGCAGCAGCAGCTGCTGCAGTTGCTGCAGCAGCAGCAGCTGCTGCTGCTGCTCCTCCCCCTCCTGCTCTCCTCTCCCTGCCCCCCCCCAAACCAACCAAAAGACAAAGAGATGCAGATACACCTGGGGGCCCCCCAAGGGGCCTCCTTATACCCCCCCCGGGGGCCCCCCCGGGGGCCCCCCCAGGGGGCCCCCCTCCGGGGGCCCCCCTGCTGGGGGGCCCCCAGGGGCCCCCTCTCCCAGTACCCCCTCCTGTTGTGTTTCCAGGGGGGGGCCCCCTGTAGTGGGGGCCCCTCTGACACCTGTAGAGGGGGGGCCCCCCTTCAAAAAGCTGCAGTGCAAGGGGCCCCCTAGGGTACAGTTTGGGGGCCCCCCCCTCTTTAGTAATGAACAGAGAGGAAGACAAGAAGGAGAGCGGGGGAGAGAGAGGTGGGTGTTGTTTGTTTTTTTTTTTTTATTTTATTTTTTTTGTTTTTTTTGTTTTTTTTTATTTTTTTTGTTTTTTTTGTTTTTTTTTATTTTTTTTTTGTCTCTTTTTTGCTGTATCTCTTCTGTCTCTTGGGTTCTTTGTTTTTGTCTCTCTGTTTGTTTTCTTCGTTTCTTTCTTTTTATTTATCTCTATATTATTTATTTATTTATTTATTTATTTTATTTATTTATTTTATTTATTTTATTTATTTATTTTTTTTTTTATTTTATTTATTTTATTTTTATTTCTTTGTCTGCAGCAACTCTCTGTTTGGGTCTCTACCGCAGCGGCAGCCGCAGCAGCAGGACTTTGCTGCTGCTCGGGATGTGTATGCGTCAGCTCCTGGGCTGCAGCAGCAAGCAGCTGCAGCAGCAGCAGCAGCAGCTACTGCTGCTGCTGCTGCTGCTCAGCATACCTTTATCCCTACCAATGAGCAGCAGCAACTCAAACGCCCTCTGCTGCTGCAGCAGCAGCAGCA